GTCATTGTTGTTTGGCGGGTCCGGGCTGGGGATTCAAACCCGCCACCTTAGGTGTACGTGGCTGGTGCCTTAGCCGGTTGAGCTATAGGCGCTGAGCCGTCCCTGTTGTTCTTTTAGCTGCCCTGGATTGGGTTTGAACCCACCAGTCTTGGTGTATGTGGCCAGTGCCCTACCCACTGAGCTATCGGTGCCGCCCTCCAATTTTTATTTTCAGACTGCTGTCCTAGTTTTTGGATTTCTGGTTTTCTTTAAATGGGATTGTTTTAATATTGATTATCATTTCTGTTGCAGTTAAGAATCTGAAATAAACAAGAAAGCACAATGTCTTCAATGTGGTCTGAATATACAATTGGTGGAGTGAAAATTAATTTTCCTTATAAAGCTTATCCATCACAGCTTGCTATGATGAATTCTGTAAGTATTTTTCTCCAGTTAAGTCTTTATTACAACACACATATTTATGATCCATAACAAATGTTGGGTATGTGACTACATTCCTATTCTCAGATAGTAAACGGATTGAGAATATTTGCTGAGTTCCTTTGGAAGACCCATCTAATCTGTGTGAAAATAACACTGATTACTGCTAGACTATGTATGTCTGTGGTTAGGAGACAAGGAAGAACATTTGAAAAAATGTTCTTAGCTCTTTTTGAACTTCTATTTACTTTAATGAATTACTGCTTTCTACAAAGTATTTACTATTTTTTTACCTATTATTTTTACTATATTTTTCACCTTTAATTTCTTTGTAGTAATTGAATTATATAGAAAATTAGTGTATAAATTTGAGCAAACCAACTTTCCAGTTTGTTAAATCATAATATTTTGCCATATTTATTCCATATCTTTTTTACTGGTAAAAAAATTATCCTGAATTTGTTCTTTCTCTTTCCTGGTCTTGTTTTTACTTTTATTTCATACATGTGTATCCATAAACACTAGAGTATTATTTTACATATTTTAAAATTTTGTACATTAATATGATACTATACTTATTTTTCTGCACAACTTGATTGTTTTGCCTAACATTACTTTTAATGTGTTAGCCCTGTTAATTACTAATCCATTTCAATTTCTTTATGGTCTTCATTTGTGTAAATATACTGGAATTTATCTGTGCATTTTCCTATTGACAGACATTTAGGTTGATCTCATTCTTTTGCAGTGACAAACAATACTGCTATAAAATTTCTTATGCATGTTTCCTTGTGTTCCTATGGGATTGATTTTGGGTGTATATCTATGGAACTGGACTTGCTGGAGTTGAGCATCTTCAACTTATAATAAGCTGTTAATTTTTGTACAAAGTAATTGCAACAATTTGTAATCCCACTAGCAGTATCCCTTATAAGTTTTCATCAAAGATACTGATAGGTATTAGGGTATTCTTGTTTTATAGAAATGATTGATACTTGCATAATTAAGGCACAAATTGCTTTTTTCATTTCTTTTTTGCTTGTTATGCTGTAACATAACATCATCTTAGGGAGTGGTGTAAAGGAATAAAGTCTAAATTTAATTAAATACAAATATTTCCTTCTACTGCTGTGTTCCCTGGAGAGGAGCCTTATTTCTCCCTGCTATTTTTTTTTTGTACTTCTGAGAAAGTAAAATGTTTATTGATTTTTTTTTAACTGGTTTCTGTGTCCATAGATTGTCAGAGGATTAAATAGTAAACAACATTGTTTGTTGGAGAGTCCCACAGGAAGTGGAAAAAGCTTAGCTTTACTTTGTTCTGCCTTAGCATGGCAACAATCTCTTAGTGGTAAGTAATTGTTTGCTATCTTCAGGTTGTTTATTGGAACCTGAATAAAGCATAAAGTTCTTTTTATCCAGACTGGTTTAACCATGCTCTAGCTAATTTAAATGTTCTCTTTTAAGGTGTTTCTTTATAATAAATTATATATTTCCAAAAGAGTTTCAGTATAGCAAAACATGTTTACTCCTAAAACTACTGAATATAATTTAGTCTTTTATTTGATGATTCATAGAGTACATAAAAGTTTGCATGCTTAATCTTAATCATGAGAATAATTAGATGATTAATTTGTATGTAAAAGATAACAAGAGATGGGGCTGTCGTGATGCTATAACATATGCTAATTGCTTTTTTTTTTTAGTAAATTCCTTCATATACTTGCATACCTGTTCCTTCCTCATAACATTAGAACATGGACTGTATAAAAAAGAAGACATTCTAGTTGATCTTTCTACTTGTTTGGATGCCAGATAAGCAGAAATTTATTATAATATTATTTGTATGAATCCATTTTATTTCCCATAACTTTTACTTTATTTGCTAAGAAATGCCTATTAATATTTACTTTCATGAAATTATATAATTTACAAAACGAATCTGAAATATAAGTGTGGATAAATTTTAGTTACATGATTAGATGGCTTTCACCTAAAGTATTAGAAGAATTTAAAGTGAACCATGGTGTGCCTGTGACATTTTATAAGGTTTCGGCTATCCATTTTAAGTCTTACTGATGTTAATTTTTTAGGAAAATGAGATTACCCAGATTACCAGTTAATAACTTAAAATTTTAATGGCAGATGTCTGGATAATAGAATTAGTAGAATTTTTGTGGTACAAATGGGTAAACAGTGTCAGTACTATTTATTTTAAGAAGTAAATTATTCTGCTTTCTTGGGTATATGTGAATTGTAGTTTGTATGCAGTGTAGACCTATGACAATTATATTTGAGCATCAAAATTACCTGTTTTATATTCATTTTGAATGTTGATTTTTAAATGTATTTTGAAGATCATGTCAGCAATTTTTATTGTCAACTTTTTTATGTCGTAATTTAAATTTTTTTTGAGACAGAATCTCACTATGTCACCCTCTGTAGAGTACTGTGCTGTCACAGCTCACAGCAACCTCAAACTCTTGGACTTAAGTGATTCTCTTGCCTCAGCCTCCCAAGTAGCTGGGATAATAGGCGCCCACCACAACCCCCTGACTATTTTTGTTGATGTTATTGTAGTTGTCACGGTTGTTTGGCAGACCCCAGGCTGGATTTGAACCCACCAGTCCCAGTGTATGTGGCTAGTGCCCTAGCCGCTGAGCTACAGGCACTATGCCTTAATTTTTATTATTTATTTGTTTGTTTTTGTAGAGACAGAGTCTTAATTTGTCACCCTCGGTAGAGTGTGATGGTGTCACATAGCTCACAGCAACCTCCAACTCCTGGGCTTAAGCGATTCTCTTGCCTCAGCCTCCTGAGTAGCTGGGACTACAGGTGCCTGCCACAATACCCAGCTATTTTTTGGTTGTAGTTCGGCTGGGGATGGGTTTGAACCTGCCACCCTCGGTATATGGGGCTGACGCCCTACCCACTGAGCCACAGGTGCTGCCTATTTATTTGTTTATTTATTTTTGAGACAGAACCTCAAGCTGTCACCCTGGGTAGAGTACTGTGGCATCACAGCTCACAGCAACCTCCAACTCCTGGGCTTAAGTGATTCTCTTGCTTTAGCTACTCCCAAGTAGCTGGGACTATAGGTGCCTGCCACAATGCCTGATTGTTTTTTTGGTTGTAGTTGTCGTTGTTTGGCAGGCCCGGACTGGATCCAAATCTGCTAGCTCTGGTGTATGTGGCTGGCG